CACCCACCACGAATACGTCCGCATCGGCCTGCACCACCGTCAATCGCTGAGATGAGGGCTGCAGCGCGTTGTGAATGCAGCCGCCCGCCAACACCAGCCCGTCCCCGGTGGGCGAACCATGCTCCGCCCTCCGAAGCAGTCCCTGCTCTGCAGCCCAGGTGCGCGTGCTGGCCAACGCCTGCACCACGATGCCCAGGACACTCCTGCCAATGAAGTCCATCGCCGTGACGCCGCATGGCACATGCTTTTCGCAGCCGTATGCCGCCGACGTCGACTGCAGGACCTCGTTGGCGCGCGCACTGGGCACAGCCACGCATTCCCGGAGCAGGAATGCCAGGGGCCAGCCATGAGGCACATGCAGACGTATGATATCGAACACATACGCGGCCACATCCCTCAAAGCCGACTTGGCCTGCTGCCCATCCTCCGCGTGCACCTGTGTAATGTACTGCACCGTCTCAACCTCATGTGGACACGCCGCTGATACATTCGAGCACGGCCAGCGACGTCGTGCAATTGTCCAATACGGACGCCAGCCGCGCCAGCCGCTCCATATCGCATCCTCACAATTTGCAATGCGAGCGTCTCCAAGATTCCAGTGTGCCGCACGGAGAATTGCGCCTTGGCCACCGCGAAGGTTACTTACTGCCATTCTTTGAAGTGCTGCTTTTCGTCCACACAGTAATGCGCCAAGGTGGCCGCTGGAGTGCCAGATGTCTGTCGCCGACCAAACAGGCTGTACAGTATTCCGCTAATTTTCTTTTTTTAGCACACAACACTTCGATACTTTTTGGAGGGCCTGGCACTTCAGATGGACGACGGCGCTGTTGGCGTGTTAGCTGTGCAGCGGCCCGCTTGCGCTGCTGCGGCTGCTGGCAGATGGTTCTTAGGTCAACCCTTCGTTAGTGCAAAAAACTTTTAAAATTTTTTTATAAAATAATTATGTTTTAAAAAATTTTAACTTTAGAAACTTTTAAAATACTTGTTAACTTCTGAAAATCTTAAAAATTTTCACTTGTAGAATTCATAAAAACTTGTTAGTTTTAGAAAAATCTTGAAGTTAAAGAGAATCGCAGATATAGATTGAAAGTAAAAGTAAAAAGTAAAAGTTAAAGGTTAAATTTAAAGGAATGAGTTAGAAGGTCGTATTAGACGAAGTTTTTGAAAGAAAATCTAAAGAAGAGAAGCTGGAAGGAGAGGTATGTGTTATTGAGTCTGTTTAGGGGCGATTAGGTAGGGTTGAAAATTTTGTATGTTTTGTGGGAGAGGGTTTGGAAGGTTTAGGCTGAGGGGATAAAAAAGTGACGAGTATAATTTATCGAAGGTATGTTGTGTGTGGAGGGCTTGGAAGTAGTTTTTGCGTATAGGTGAGATGTAAAAAAATAGAGGTGGAGTTTTGGCTGAGGTGAGGAGTGTTAAGGAAAAATAAGTGCTGGGAGGGGTTTGGTCTATCCGAGAGTTTTATAGGTGTAGTGCGAGGAAAGTAGTGAAAAAGGAAATCTAGGTGTAGCTGGAAGAGAACTAGATGGGCTGCTAAGCGAGTGCAAGCTGACCTAAAGAAAGCTGCTGAAGCTATATTTAGCAAGGCACGTCACGACGCGTTTCGGCCTTGCCAGGGCCTCATCAGGTGACTCTTGCGCTAAGTTTAGGTGCTTTGCTATGCTAAGAGCCCCCTGAGATGTAGAAAACGTAAACTGACCGTAGTGGGCGAACTGTACCAGTGGTGAAGAAGTTTGGTGGTGGTAGTTGGTGTTCGCAGAGCGATTAGTCCAATCGATGGTGGTTGTCAAGTGGTGAGCGAGGACGATCCTGAATGAAAAACGTAATGATAGTGAGTTGTAAAGTCAATTGCAGTGGGTGTAGGAGCCTGGTTTGGAGGTTTATGAGCAGTTACGAGTTGGCATGGCGGGTATGTAAGATATGGGTACTCGAAGCAATCACGGAGGTTTGAATTGAAAACTAGTTGTGTTGCGATGGAATATTTGCGAGGAAAAAGAAAGGCGGACGGCTGGGGAGGACTTACTGTTGGTGGGCGATGATGAGGTTGGAACGGTGGCGTTGTGCAAGATAGCACCGCGCGAAGATTGTAGGTCTTTGTGGATTATAGGGAATAAAGATAAGTTGTTGTAGATGAGGATAGTGAAGAGTGGTGGTATTTGATGTGAAAGGTGTGGGCTATAGGTGTGGCTATAGGTATGACGGCGTTCGGTGTTATAGGCGCGATTGAGCGAGTTCGGGAATAAATGTTGAACGAGATATCAGTATATGTATAAAATGGAGCGCGCTTCTTTAAATCGAGTGTTCGTTGCGAGAGGGTGTGGTTCCCTGGAGTGAGCTGTATCGCCGGCGGGAGGTGCGAAGTGTCGGTTTGGGCGTAGTATACTTTTGTTGAAAGGAATATTTTTGTAGGCGTTGGGTTTTTTGTGTTGGGTTGAGGGGAGATAGTCTGTATGCCTGGCGCATATAGTGGTTTGGGAGTTATTGTGTTGCTGGCTTTTGCCGTTGGCGAGCTGTTGGAAAGGTCATATGGTAGTTAAGAAAAAGTAAAAAAAGAAAAAAAGGGTATCGCCGAGGCTTTCGTAAGAGAATAGCAGTGAAACGGTGGAGTTTGTTACAGAGCTAGTTAGTTATTACGTAATGTCAGAATGTGAAGGGATTTGAAGTTTGTAATTTACTTCACCCGAACAAGGGGCTGTATGCGTTGCGCTACCGAAGCCGCGCCCATTTGCTTGCACAAAGTGCCGCTTCGCCAGACGCTTCTTCTTCCCGCGGCCGTTTCATGCGCCCAGTCTTGCAAGCTACGTTGCTTGCTTTCTTTGCTTTCTGTGCTTTCAGTTACGGCAAAGCAGGCACCCCATTGTCCGGGCTGCATGCCGCGTGCGGCTGTGGCCAAGATGGCCTCCTGCGCACCGCGCTGACACACGCGGCCTTCTTCGCCAAAAAAAAGACATACACTTGCACACGCGCATTTTGCGAATCGCATGCGCGCATCCGCGCGTTAAAAATCGCTCCTGGCTTTGGGCCGTTTTGTACGGTCTGTTTATTCGGCACAGTACGACCGGACACAATTGTGCGAGGGGCTGCTTAAATAGGGGGGTCCTTGTGAAGCAGCTGCCCGCGTTTCCAAAGCACGTATGGTGTTGGATTGTAAGGTGCCCAAGTACGTTTGCGAGGAAGAGAATGTGGCCAGGCTGGAGAGGAAAGTGCAGTGGCATATTGGAATGTGAGATTAGCGTAAGCGAGTTACAGGGCGTTTTATTGCACGGGCGAATTTACGTGCAAATCTTTCACCGTAGCATCAGTCCTCAGTTCACTTCTTGGAACGAACATCAGCATAGGTGCAAGCCCTCTCGCTTGGAGGGATATGCAAACAAACATCCTGATAGGGGTAAACTCGCACGCTACCGAGCATTCAACCGAGCACATGCATGCTTAGTTGAATGGTGAGATGCGACCCCCCCTTCATTTCGTGCTCGGCAAGCCTGCCACCGCGTACCGGATATGTTGGCGATGTTACAGAACGCTGCACCTTGGTTTCTGTGCGCAATGCGTACGCTGCTCGACCCCGCCGACCAAAACTACACGTGCCCAACTGAAGACATTCCCGGTGGTTGTGCAGCAGCTCTTGAGGCTGTTGCTGGCTGAAATCCATCCTGAGCTGTTGCAACACGGCTAACGCGGGCACGTCCCTATGCACAGCAAATAGCTGTTCCAAGCCAACAGCGGCGTCCATGTCACCGACAAGGCTCTAAACGTCTTATCTGTCCTTATGTTCAATTAAGTTTATGTATGTTATACTTTGCGCAACTTTGTAATTTGACTTTACTCTGAACAAGGTGCTGCATACAACTGCCTCTTCGCCAGCGGTTCATCTTCCGCGGCAGTTTCACGAGCCGAGAGTTGCAAGCTAGGACGTTGGCATTCGGTGCTTTCTGTTACTGCAAAGCATCCAGGCAACAGTCCAGCATGCATGCCGCGTGCGGCTATGGCCAACATGCCCACTTGCGCAACGCGCTGGCGCACGTGGTCCTCATCCGCCAAGAAAATTTATATACACTTGTACAGGCGCATTTTGTGAATCGCACGCGCGCATCTGCGCGGCAAAATTCGCTCCTGGCTTTTTTGGGACGATGTACGAACACTTTATTCGCGAAGTACGACCGGACACATTTGTGCGAGAGGCTGCTTAAATAGGGGGGTCCTTGTGAAGCAGCTGCCCGTGTTTCCAAAGCCCGTATGGTGTTGGATTGTAAGGTGCCCAAGTACGTTTGCGAGGAAGAGAATGTGGCCAGGCTGGAGAGGAAAGTGCAGTGGCATATTGGAATGTGAGATTAGCGTAAGCGAGTTACAGGGCGTTTGGCGCACGGGCGAATTTACGTGCATACCTTTCACCGTAGCATCAGTCCTCAGTTCACTTTTTGGAACGAACATCAGCATAGGTCCAAGCCCTCTCGCTTGGCGGGATATGCAAACAAACATCCTGATAGGGGTAAACTCGCACGCTACCGAGCATTCAACCGAGCAATGCATGCTTAGTTGAATGGTGAGATGCGACCCCCCCTTCATTTCGTGCTCGGCAAGCCTGCCACCGCGTACCGGATATGTTAGCGATGTTACAGAGATGCTGCACCTTGGTTTCTGTGCGCAATGCGTACGCTGCTCGACCCCGCCGACCAAAACTACACGTGCCCAACTGAAGGCATTCCCGGTGGTTGTGCAGCAGCTCTTGAGGCTGTTGCTGGCTGAAATCCATCCTGAGCTGTTGCAACACGGCTAACGCGGGCACGTCCCTATGCACAGCAAATAGCTGTTCCAAGCCAACAGCGGTGTCCATGTCACCGACAAGGCTCTAAACGTCTTATCTGTTCTTATGTTTAATTAAGTTTATGTATGTTATACTTTGCGCAACTTTGTAATTTGACTTTACTCTGAACAAGGTGCTGTATACGTTGCACTACCAAAAACGCGACCGTTTGCTTGCACAAAAGTGTCGCTTCGCCAAACGCTTCCTCTTCCCGCGGCCGTGTCATGAGCCCAGCCTTGCAAGCTAAGTTGTATGATTTCAGTTCTTTCAATTACGGCAAAGGAGCCACCCACATTTCCGGCCTGCATGCCGCGTGCGGCTGTGGCCAACATGCCCACCTGCGCAACGCGCTGGCGCACCTCGTCCTTTTTCGCCAAGAAAATTTATATACACTTGTACACGCGCATTTTGCAAATCGCACGCGCGCATCCGCGCGTTAAAATTCGCTCCTGGCTTTGGGCGTCTTGTATGGAGTGTTTATTCGGCACAGTACGACCGGACACATTTGTGCGAGCAGGGGTTGGCAACGCCGCTGGTACAGCGGGTCCTTCCGTTGTACCCGTTGCAGAAATTCAACTCTATTCTTCATCGCTGGTACGGCAGCCGTACGGAAGGGTGCAGAAATTCCCCCCAAAAGGCAGGTTTGCGCAGTTTTGAAGCTATAAACTTCATCATTAGGTTACAAACCTTCCATTTTACAAGAAGGTAAATGCTAGCTTTGAGAGGTTCTCATAACGAACAGTCAATTGACGACCTTTCTCGGCTTTTACCAAAAAAATTTCCATACAGTTATTCGACCCTGGCACCAGTACCCGTGACAGTTATTCAGGGTTTGCCGACCTCTGAGCGGGATACAGCTGCTATGTAGCTTTGGAGCTGTCAATCATGCTGAGAACCATCGACTCGCCATCCTCATGGCGATGAGCAATTTCTCATAACATTACACGACTGGCATGATCCTTGGGCTGTACATTTATCTCCTCTGTCCACTTGCTGAATGTCGTACTTTACTTCCTCTCAAGACAGACAGCTGTTTTAATCGGTGTTGTTACCTCCCCTAACCTCACCGTCAGATATACCATTATTCCTTTTGTTGTCACACACGGACATGTTGTCCTACATTTTCGTTTTATTTGCATTGTCGGGACTTTAATGCCAGTATGTGCACTGAATCTGCGGATTACCGAGTCGGTTCCAATAGTCGGCTAACCACATGGGTAGACAGTAGTCGTCGAGATGATAACGATCGATGCTTAGAGTGCTGCGCCACTCGTCGGAAAGCCGGAAAAACGGTTCCCAGCGGTGCCGTACACAGCTGAATGTTATGTAGGTATCTAGACACAGAACCCCAAACGACAAGGGATCTCCCCGGCGACAACATCCTGCCAACGTTGAGTTTATCTCTTCCTGCAGTGCCCGCCTGCATCAGATCCTTTACCGACCTTCCAGACAGGACGGCCGCCACGTGAAGCACGCACACCAGACGTTGACTCCAAGGGTCGATTAAGGCAATATACGCCTTAGGCTTCTGATACTCCTCTGCAGTAAAGGAGAGCGAGAGTTGCACATTCGCACTCCTTATCTGACCCCCCGCGATGAACTGCACCGCCGGCTGCTGCACCACGACGCAAAAGCGCAGCCGACATATTGACAAGCTGTTCCCAAGTGCTCTCAAACCACAACGGCCGATAACCCCTCGCTGGGTGATGCCAGTCGGTCTTAGATGGCAAAGCTCCCAAACGTCGCTGCATGCGCACATCATCCACCCCCATGCTCTACCAAGCTAGCCAACATCGGTTCCGTCAAAATACGAGCGCGCAGAGGTACGAAATTTTCTTCAGTTTGGTGCAGCCATGCGCATCCGCTGAGCCGGAAGTAAGGCTTTTCCAAGCGAGTGGTACCGTTCTACCCTGTACTTGCGTCCAGTCATACCCAGCCCGCGGTCCTCCCCCTGGTCGCATGTCCACCTAGCGCTATATTGCTAGCATGCCATACAGACCCAGACGCAATCTTAGGACCATCTCCACCAGCCGCGGGGTCCCTGAGCTCCTCCCGGTGCGCACGAAGGTAAAAGTGTGGCCAAGCTGCGCCCGCTCGTGGGGGGCTGCCCACTTTTCGGCGGTGGCGTTATGTCGGCACGGCCCAACGCTCTCCATGCACTACACTACGCGGTGACGCTCAACGACATATCATGCCCAAAGAGATATACCTCAGCCTACAACTAGCCAATGGGGAAGAGAGAGGCCGTCCGTTGAAACCCAACCTACATGGGGGCCTAATGCGTTTTAGTCGATACCTGCGAAAGACATGCAAATGTAAACATGCATAAACCTATATCTACACATCTCGCTGCCCATACCCCGCGCCCGCAACATCGCTTTATCCCCATCATACAGCTGGAACCTGCGGAACATCACAAACGAATGGACTGCAAACCCACCACTCCCCCCCTAGTCCCTACAACGCCAACACCACACACGTGCTTGGGTTCCAACCCCTGCTCATCCACGGATGGACGGATGAACCCTCCCCCTGCCGCTGCACGCCAGCACGGTTGCGACCTGCCTGTGCATATCGCCAGACCACCAGGCGTACTGCTCCGGAAACACTCCCACTACCTAGACGAGCACCCAGCAGGCTTGCAGCCACTGACCTGTGTTCATCTTTGTTGCCCCATATGCGATGGCGAGAAACTACCCCACTCCTTGACAATACTCAACCTGCCTATCACATAACCCGCTATAAACATCTCATGGCCTAAAGCGTGCTTGGCTGTCCGCCATGTAACCCGGGTCAGTCACCCCCCCCTTATAGCCCCCCGGGCCAAAGGTACCTGCAGCCCTATCCTCGGCTCGCAAGCCCTGTCCCCGGCCTGCCTGCCAATACACGCTACGCCCTTGCTGGCGATACTGCCCGTTGATAGAACAGCACCGACGGCTGGATGCGGCCCGCGCGGCACTTGGCGATGACCTGTGACCAATTTCCAACCGCAACCACAGTCGCGTCGTCAAACATCACCCACTCCTGCGCCGACTCGGGCTCCACAGGGCCTCGGTTGATGAAGGCAAAGTAGTGCTGGCCGTAGTAGCAAAACATGCCGTGCAGCGTGTAGGCCGGCATGTTGCCGCCCGGGGGGCAGTTGCCGCCGGCGAATATCTCCTCGGGGTCGAGCACCGTGTCCACGAGGGCCAGCGTTCCCGCAATGGCGTCGCCGGGCACATCGGGCTCCCAGGCGAGCTGGACGGTGAAGACGGCAGGCAGGTTGTGCAGCGTTTTCGTGACACGGGTGGGCGTGTTGCAGCCGTGGTGCGGCGGGTCGTTGTCGCAGCGCTTGATGTTCTGGGATTCGATTTCGTTGATGATGCGGCCCATCGTCAAGTGGTCCGAGGGACCTGGAACGAGGCATTGGAAAGAGTGGGTTCGGGAGGGGATCGGGGCGGGGCACGATGCCTTCGAGAGCTGGAACATGCACTAAAATGGGTTGACGCTGCTCGCGAAGTAGAAAAACCACCACCACGCTGGACAAGACTAACACGACTATATGTCGCGTACTGCCACAATACAAGTGCGCCGCCGCATAAATCGACAAAAGTCGCATACCCCTCCCAAGCCAGTCCACACACCTTACAAAGCAGGCTAAGCACGCAGAGGCCGACAACATGGCAGCTCCCAACCCCTCCCAACGTCAGGCCCTTCCCCATCCTTGCTTGCTTCCTTCCTCCTCAAATCCGCCGCCTCGCGTCCCGATAACCGCGGCGGCTTACCAACGTCAATGAAGGCGCGCATGTCCCGCAGGCCCGTGGCCGTGATGATGATGAAGTACTCCACGTGTTGCGGCACCACGTGCGTGATGCGGCGGCAAGTGGATACCGTGCAACGAACCTCCTCCGACAGCAGCAGCCCAAAGGTGCGGTCCACCACCGACAGCGAGCCGGGACTGCCGTCGTTCGCACCGGACAGCCCGGGAGCGCGGTTCAGCGACTCAAACAGCGCGCCCATAACCTCCGACGCGTCGTTCATCTCGCCCGCGCGGACGCCAAGCGCGTCCAGAGCCTCGCGCAGTTCTGAAGGATCCACCGTGTGGCTGCGCGGGGAGGGAAACAACGGAAGGGGGCAGCATGGGAGAGGGGGATCAACCAAGGTTTGCAAAATGGTGTGGCAGGGGGATGGGGGTGGAGAGCCGGGGACGCTGAATGCGCGAACTGATGGAAGGGGAGAAGAGTCTTGGAGCGGGAGGCGGAATAGGGGTGGGGGTGAGGGTTAAACATTTCGCTTTACGAAAGCCATCTGTTACGCGGTTACTTCCAGCAGCGGGAGGGGGACATTGAAACCTTTGGGCTGGAAGGGAGGGATAAGAGGTCGGGGGATGAGCCTGTGAAGAAGAAGGACCAACAGGAGAAAAGCAGCCAACCCGTCCATCAACGAGGGATTACAACGTAATGAGAGGACGGACTAAGAGGAAGGGTGCGCCCTCGATGGCGGGATAGTATGGGGCCGCGGCTTTTAAGAAAAAGTTTCATGTAGTCACGGAGGCGGCCACACGATATGCCCGGGCCCGGAAGACGCAACAAGTCAGGCGCAAGAGGATTTTTGGGGGGGAAAAAGGAGGGGGGACATCGCGGGAATGAAGTCGGCCGGGGAGTCGCCAGGGAAAGCTGAGCTACTCACCGCTCGACCGCCACCTCACTGTTGCGCGCTAGTTGCTGCCGCTGCTGCTCCCGCAACGAGTCCGCCGCGTCCAGCGCGCGGAAGAGCCGCAGCAGCGCCGCCACCACGGGGTGATCCGCGTCGAAGTCGGAGGGGTTACGTGTCTGCAGCTGTTGCCGGAAAGCCGCGCAGTGCCAAAGACACTGGATGATGACATTAAGGAAGCAATTGTACTCCCCTGCGGGGGATGAGGCGTGTACGCCAGCATAGCGTCCTTGTCAATGGTGTGGCTCGGCCAGAGCTCGGGCAGGCGGGCATGGCATTAGACGGAGGCGAGGTGTGCGTGGTAAAGGGCACAGAAGAAACAGGGAATCGTATACCGTTGCTACTACTGCTACTACGCCCGCCCGCGCAAAGGCACCTCAGGTCGCTACGCTTGCTTGTGCGCGCGTATGCTGCACCAGCGCGCGTAAGTTGTTAAGCAGAGATGCAATCCTGACTGAGCCATCCAAGCGCATTGACGCCGCCGAGGCGTCGAGCACCTTGACCTACGACTAGTATCGTCAGTCCGCCTCACGAGGCTCACCAACGCGATTGACAAGCCCCGTGCCGACGGCACTGCCAGGGACCAGATCCAGCTCCTGAGCCGTGCTCGCAGACGACGACGGGGGGTGTGTCACAGCCGCGGCCAGACGTCCACTTGCCGACCCGGCCGCCTCCGCGGCGGAGGCCGCCAGCGGCGGGAATGCCACGTTCATGTTGTCCCGCATGGACTCGTGCATGGCCGCCCGCAGCTGCATTTCCTCCGAGTCGGGCACCTCGTCATCGACCTGGTCCTGGCCCTCGGGCGGGCGAGAGGCTGCGGACAGTGCAGCGCAGCACACGAAACATATTTTTTTTGCGTTGCAGCAAACACGCCTCGCTGATAAACGGCCTCAGGACGCATTCCGAAACTAACTAGCAATGGCAGCTAGCCAAAAGAGCAGCACAAGCTGAGGGAGGCAGTGGCAGCGGCAAGAGGGCGGTTCGAGCTGCTCCAGGCTACACGGCGTTCACGGCAGAGCAAGCTAACGGCTTCCATACCCAGGAATGCATGCCGCAGGCAAATCATCTCGCATTATTTAACACAAGACCTTGCCACTGCTGCAGGTGCAGCGCCCGAGCCCTTTGTATACACTGAACGCCTACAGTACCTGGCCGTCCAAGAGGCGGAGCAGCCTTGACAGCGCCCCCGGCAGCTCGCGCGCGCTCTGCCCAGGACAGCACAGGGGGCCCAGCCGCAGCTACCGCCATAACCTTGGGCGGCAGCGGCACCTGTGGCGTGTACGGCGCTGCAGCAGGCGGCGGAGGCAGCTCCTCGCCCATATTCGTCTCTGCCTCCGATGAAGGTGGCGGAGTTGGGGATGGCGCCACTGCCGGCGGTGGCATGCCGTACATCCCCGGCGGCGGCGGCACGCCATAGGGTGGCAATGGCGCCGGATAGCCACCGTACGCGGGCATGCCCGGAGCGAAGGGCGGGTAAGCTGGTATCGGTAGCGGCGGCATCGTCGCTGCCGCTGCCGGAGCCACTGGTCGCGGCGCTTGAGACACTCCCAGCAAACCAAGCAGGTCGTCCGTATCCCCCTGATCCTCGTTGTCCGACTCGGCCCGCGGCTCGGGCGGTGTCGGCATGGGCGCCATCGGCGGCCGCAACGGTTGCGGCATGTTGTATGGGAACATGGGCGGCGGCCCACCGGGGAAGAGCCGTGGTGGCATCCCCGGTGGGCGCACACCCTGCGGGGCAAACTGCGGAATTGGAGGTAGCGGCGGCGGCCCACCGGGGAACGGCGGCGGCAGTGGCCACGGACCCTGCGGACCTCCAGGTCCAAAAACGGGCGGCCCGGCGCCGTACACTAATTGCGGCGTGCCAGCGGCCCCAGGCGCCCCGACCTCACAGGTAGACGACGGCTGATACTCACTGTGTACGGCTATGGGCATTGCGTACGGCACTGTGTACGGCGGCGGCTGAGGCCCTTGCGGCATGTACCCCTTGAACGCTTCAGGCGGCACCACCGGCTTAGGCCGATCTTCTTGCGAATACAGGCTTTCCGCCAAGTAGGCGAAGAACACTCGCCGGTGCTTCGCCACGGAGACCTCGTCCGTGAAGCCCTCCTTCTCCCGCGCCGACTCCTCCAATTTCTCCGGGTCAATGTCGGCCGGGAACAGGTACCCCTCGTGCACTATCCAGCCTTCCGGAGCCGCAAAGGGGTACGGGTGCACCAGTGGGTACTTGGCCATATTGACCTCAAACGCGTCCGCAGGAGCGGGCTCCGGCCCGGACTCCGGCTCTGTGAGATCCACCATGGCCACATCCTCGGCCCCCGCTGCCGCCGGAGGGTGAGGGCGCTCGCCGTCCTCCGTATCGTCCATCATGCCCTCCACCCAGCGGGAGGCTGCTGGGAGCTGCTCGGCGGACGTCGCGGCCTCGGCAGCCATGGCAGCCGTGCCGCCGAGGCCGCGCCCAGTACCACCACCAGCGGCTGCTGCGGCGGCAGCGGCGGCGGCGGCAGCGGCGGCTCCTCCCCTCCGGCCTCTCCGCCCCCCCGGCCTGGACGGCGGGCCGCTAACGGCCTCGGGGTCGAACCCGGGCACCATCCTGTTTTGTTGGGCCGAGCCTGGCGGACCTGCCCTCCCACTTCCGCCACCACCCCCAGATCCACCGCCGCCGCCGCCACCGCCGCCCTTTCCAGCTGGCGTACTTCTTCCGCCTTGCGTCTGCTGCGTCTGCGTCTGCTGCGCCTGCTGCTGCTGGTGGGTTCCGGACTGCCCGCCTCGGTCGCCCTTGCCTCCCGGGGTCTGGTGAGGGCCCTGTCCGCCCCTGTCCCGGTCCCTGTCCCTGCCGCCCGTGTCCTTGCTGCCAGTCCGAGCTGGTCCCGAGGCAGCAGCTGCAGATACGACGCTTGTACTTGTGCCGTGCGGAGCACTGCCGGCGCCGCCACCACCGTCCCTTTTTTTGGCTTGTGACGCGTTCTGTGGAGTATGTGCCAGCTGAGCCTGCTGCTGCTGCGGCGGCGGCGGCTGCTGCTGCGGCCCCGAGCCGGTCCTGCGTTGGCCCCCGTTGTCTCCTCTGGCGCCTCCAGCCCCGGCAGGTGTCGCCAGCGGCCCGCCGCCGCCGTCCCGCTTGCCTCGCGAGTCCGACGGACCCTGCGGCGGGTGCTGCTGCCTTTGCTTCTGTTGCTGTTGCTGCTGTTGTTGTTGCTGCTGCTGCTGCTGCTGCTGCTGCTGCTGTTGTTCCTTCTCCTTGAGACGCGAAGCCATGCCGTCCTTTTTGGCGCCAGGAGGGCCGCCGCTGCCGCCCTTGCCGCCAGGCTGCTGCACGCTCTGCCTCTCGGGAGCCACCCCAGCTGCGCGGACATCCGCACCCGCACCTGCCGCCGCTTCAGCTCCTTCCTCATCCTCATCCTCATCATCCAGCCGCTCGACGTCAATTTTGAATGAAAAGTCCTCCATCATGAGGGTGCTCACCCTGGAGGGCGGCTTCTTCTTTGCCAGGAATGTTCGTGGCAAGAAGGGCAGCGGCGGATACAACCAAGGCAGCAACGGTGAAGGCGCGTGCACAGGATAAGAACCACTCACAATGAATCATTTTCCATACAACAAGACCCATGCGATGTAAAGAGCGCCACGCACGGAGTTTTGGAGGTTGCTTACGAGGCAGCATGGGGCGGTCTTTGCCATTTACGAGGCAGCATGGGAGGGGGGGTAGGCAGTCGCCGTACATCGCGAGATACAGTCGGGTTCAAAGGGGCGCGGGCTTACACCTGCGGGAGCCCCTGGTGGCCCCGTGGTCTTCTTTCTGCAGTCGCAAATCTTAAGTTCGGAAGGTACACAGTACGAGGTGTGCCCGACGACCTTGAAACAGCCTGTGCCGTGTGTTTGTAGTGTGTAGGGCATGAAAATAAGTGCAAAGCATCCATACGGTTTTCATAATCACAATTATTTTGCATACCTCCTCTGCCTTTTGCAGGGATGCCCGTCCCCGCTCCTCCGCCCTCTCCTCGCGCTCTTTCCGTTCTCGCTCCTCCTCGCGCTCTCGCGCCTCCTGCGCTTCGCGGTCCTGCTGCTGCTGGCGCGCTGCCGCCTCCTCCTCCTCGCGCTTCCGTGCTGCCGCTTCCTCCTCCTTCCTGCGCTCTTCCTGGCGTTTCCTCTGCTCAACCTGCTTCCGCTCCCGATCCTTGGCCCCCTTAGCTTCCTTGCCCTGCTTCGCCTGCGCCTCCGCCTCCAGCAGAAAGGACTGGGGAACGCGCAGATGGCGCGAAAATGGTTTCAGTGCATGTCCGGACGCAATGGGACGACTCCCTCCCGGACAAAACACTGAAAGCAAAAAGCAGCGCACAGTGGCACACAGCGCTGTGTCCCCGAGTTGACAGCCAGGCCATGCCAAACTCTTCCACAGTCGGAGGAGAGTGCCATCAGCCGGAAGGAATAGTGACGCGAATATTATACTGTCTTCATCCCCATTCACACAAAGACGCACCACCCACCTCAGTTAACTGGAGCACTTTGTCCTGAAGCATTTGCTTGATACACTTCTGTGGAAGGGAAGAGCCGATGATGCCCGCTTCCAGAATGGGCTGGTTGGTGATTGCGCGAGACATGGCAACGCGCGCTTGCACCTGCACCTCCTCGATGACCATCTCCAAGACTACGATATTGAAGGCCAGGTGCTGCGATAAGCACATGCCACGGATAAGCCAATGCACCACAGGGCCCAGGCGCAAGGCAAAAATGTTAGGATGGCTGGAGGAGAAAGCTGTGTTGGCACTGAGAGTTCGAAAACTTCTCTTCTTCTCCCATTCCATCTATTCCATTCCAGGAAACCGCCAGCTCAGCGGCATCGCCAGCTCAGCGCAGCAGCAGTAGCAGCAGGAGGGAAACAAACTACCCCAAAGCTCGCGCCGAACGCCGCAAGCCCGTTCAGGTGTTTTAGTGTGCAATGCGTGTTGTGCATGGATGCATGCGTGCGTGCGGGTCCGAAACAGCCATAGGTTAGGTAGCACAACCTGCGCAACCTGACAGCCCACGACCCCCTGCAGCGCTGTGGAGATTGCGCAACAGCGCACATATATCTGTAGACCACCCGGATCGATGGTCTGCAACCCCGAAGAGGCAGACGCCCGCCTGTCCCTCCCCGACCCTTCGGGCCGCCACCATGCATGCCTACGCGACCCCGATCATACCTGCGCCGCCTGCAGCCCCGCCAAGACCATCTGAGCAGCGCTCTGCGGGTTCTCGTCGTACTGGCAAGTGCGCATCCCAGGTCTGTGGCCGAACTCCCTAACGGCAACACCATCCAGGACGTGATGAATTACGTGTGCGCCACGGGGGCGGTTACCCGAGGGGCCGGCGGGAAAAATCTTATGAAGGAGGAAATAAATTGATGAACTGCTGCCGGAAGGCGTCCAAAGTCGAAGCTGGCCCTAGTGAATCCTAAGCGATAAAGTCACATCGACGCGAGGGGGCCCCCCTGAAAAGGGAAAACATGGCAATGCAAAGAGACTACACAACCAGGGGCATCGCCGCTGCAAGCTTCATATGCTGGGGGTTAAAACAAGTAATAAATACGCCAATGAGCCTTTTGCTCAAAGGAGGTGTTAACAACGCCACGGACAACGTTGTATGTATGGACGCAGGTGGCCTACACATGAAGGGGGGTGCCGATGCTTGCATGGCAGCAGAACAAATTCAGACCCGACCCGCCGCAGCTGCTGCACCGTACCACTCAATTGATCAACACGTCCACCACCACCTGGTCATCTCAAATGCAGAACGACACGGCGCGCATGTGTCCATAAATTCTACCAAGTGGTCCCAGAGGCCCAACCCTTCACTGCGGTTCGCAAGTAGGAGCTAGGTACCGTCACGGAGCAGCACAGGAGGGGAGCTGCCCAAGAAGCTGCGCAGAAAACAGATGCAAAGACGCGCAGTACGTGCGTACGTGTTCGTAGCGATCACTCACTTGAATTCCGCTGTCAGTGCCAGGACAGCCTGGCGAACATATGGGGGAGGCGGTTGGGGCCGTTGGGTTCGGTCAGTACCCACATGCGCCGAATGTTGTTTGCTTGGTTTTCAGAGAACAGGAGACATCTTTAGGAGGCAGGACTATTCTAATCCATTCCAGGTTTGTGTGTGTGGCCAAAAATGGTTTCTTGGCGTTGCTTAGCATAGGCGGGCCGTGCTGCTTCCCCCTGTGTGCAGAAGCAACACACAACTCCTGCAGGCCGCCCGACAACCAACAACAGGACGCTGCGATGGTTGGTGCCTGGGAAACACAATCAAGGGCGGTGAGCTTCCACTGCATTACGCGCATTAGAGACCATCCGCAGGGCCATCCGATACGCGAAGAACATTTACCTACAGTACGTTTTAGTTACCGATATACCGATATAATTACGGCACAAATAGTGCAAAAGGCTTCGTGATGAAGGAGGCACGGTATACAACTAAATTATCACAGTGAATTGCGTCAAGTCCTGCTCGATGCTGATCTAGGCGCTTAGCTACTCCCAAAGACAGAGACCGCGCACTATGCCCTTCCTCCGAGACTTGACCAACTACGAGCCCGCTCGATTGCGGGTCCAGCTATACCCACAGACAGGTTAAAGCGGCAGGGTGAATTGCCGCCTCTTCACTTACGTCTGCTTCTGCGTTGGCGTTCTGAAACATCTTCTCCAGGAAGTTCTTCTCGTTTTGCATGTTCTGCGGCTCAAGGTGTTTCACAGCACAGGCGGCAACACACGGCCGTCAAGGGCCAGAAATATCCTAAAGCCCTTAGTGATATCGCAGATCCGCTTAGCAGCGGTCGTCGTGCACTACCTAAACCCACAGCCGTTGTAACGCTCAACCCGAGTAGGACTGGTAGAGAGCTGTCTGGCCCATGACGAACAACACCGTGGGCGGGTGACGGGTCGGGACGGAGAATCGCGCAGAGCCCACCCACCTGTACCGCAGACGGACCGAGTGCACTAACACGCGGACGATCACCAGGATGATGGTCAGGTCAGGTAAGAACGTATACATACATGTATACATGTATGTATATACATATTTATGTTGTTGTTGTTGTTGTACAATATATGGATGTATATGTAGTCATGATCCCTGGTCGGCAGAGACACAGCTGCGAACCGAAAACCCTATGCACCTCCGTCATGGCAAAACATCCTATTCGCCGCGACCTTGCGCTGCTCTATCTGCCTCGCCACTCTCGTATGCCGGTTTCCCTACCGTGAGCTCGACCTCCACGTCCACGTTGCACTTCGTCCCCTTCGCATCGCCCTGTGCTGCCTCGGCCTGCCGAGCCTTCTGCTTGCCAACCGCCTTGCCGCCCTGCGACTGCGACTGCGACTGAGCCGTCGCCGGAACACCCTTCAAATTCTTCAGCTTTGCCTCGAGTGCCTTGGTCGTCTGTGCGTTGTCACCATTCAATAGAAACCGTGTCGATCAGGTGCTATAACGCCGTCAGCAAGTATATACGTTCCTCCACGAAAAGCAACCCCAACCGAACGCTATCCCGAAAAGGATAACGCGCGGGCCAGCGTGAACGAAGCCACCACGGTTCACACATGCCGCTCCAGTCCCGGGGCGCCTCCCGATGCAGATATCCCTGCCCTTAGCCCGTCACGTTCCCCGCGATTCACCCAGCGGCATCTTGCTGCTGAAGGCAAGCAGGATGAGATACCAGAGCCCTAACAACGATGCACCGGTGCCCGACAGCACAAGAGGCTACGCAGCGTGAGAATATCCATGTATCGATCTACCTATCTAGATATCTATCTAAATAGATACCTACATATCTGGATAGATAGATAGATAGATAGATATAGATACGTAGACATATAGGAAGTTCGTTAGATAGATACATAGAATTAAAGCTAGATAGACGGATAGATAGATGGATAGATCGATAACAACGGCAGAGGACCTGTGTGCCAGATACAGTCAAAAGGCGAGGAGGTCCCGCACAGCCTCCCCCCACCTTCAAGCGCGCGGCGTGATGCAACACTGAGAAGCGGATGGCCCGCGATTGCAACTCAAATGCATGGGTCGTGAGCGCCTTCCTCGCCACGTCGATGCGTGACATGCTGTCAGCCAACTTCAGCCGCTCGCCAGCCTCTATCTGGACCTAGAAAGGTCCCGGCGGGGAGGAAGGGAGAACAGACGAGGGTGAGTCCCGAAAACCCCGGAGGTGTGGGAACAAGATCCACCGCCACAGGTTCCATAAGCGGAACAGATGTGCAAGCAGGGCCAAAAGCGTTAAGGCCACAAGCCACAGGGCCAAACTCCAGAAGTCAAGTTATTCTGGGGATTCATCGTCAAGTTATTAAAACTAAGCGCGCCACGTGGCAATATTTACCGAATTGCATCATCCACTGACTTAATCGACTTTACAACGCCGTCGACATCCACCGCGCGGTGTGCTCTCTCCACAAAATCCCTGCTGGCTCGATCACCACAGGACCCCAACGCGCAGCGATGGCGCTAACCACGGCCACCCCTTACACCCTTACCGACCTTATCCAGCAGGTCGAACAGCCACTCGCTGACGCGCGGCCGCAGCTCCTCCGTAAACTGTGCATCGGTCGCGGAGTGGGCCAGCAGCAGCAGCAGCAGCAGCACAGCAGACAGCAGGTTTGAAGACCAACGCGCTGCACAAAAACATGCACACACGCACGCACGCAGCACAACACAATTGCACGAGATGTCACTCCCCCATGCGGTGCCTTGTGCGTGTAATAACCTTTTGCCACTTCTCGCTGTTCCGCAACAGGTCGACGTTTAGACCGGCCCCAGACACGAACCTGTAGCCCGTGCCCATGCGTTACATTACACATGGCCCACCAGCCTGAGCCCCTCGACAGGCACCCAGTGACATATATTCTCACCTCGCGCCACTCGTGTTCCCCACTGCACCTGAAGACATGCATCAGACAGGCGCAGCCCTGCGGCCAGGAGGAATGTGTGTACCACGCCAATACATGCAGACAGGGGTCAAGGCTAAATCGGATGGACAGATGGGCGAGAGCTGTCTGAGCGGTTGAGGACGGGTTCTAGAGGCGGCAGCTAGGTGTGGGTGTCAACAACCTCCGGCGAAGAACGCACTGAAACACACTGTGGGCAACATGGCAACAGATAAGTAATAGCACGACAATACGAAGGCTCCAGCGACTAGCGACCAGCACTTCTTCCCACCAGCAGCACATGAGCGTATTTTCGCAGCAACTCCATATCGCCAAACCAAGATGTGGCAACATCCCCCCATCTGCGCTTCTTGCCTTGACCAGGGAATCAAGCTGTTGCTGCAGGCCCTGCAACGCCTCCTGCCGCACGTCCTCCAGTACTGAGGCGCGCGTGAGGTCCTCGATAGCCTCGACCACGGTGAACGTAGGCGGCGCTGCGGACTGGGGCCATCTGTCGTAGGTTTGGTTGACGAGCGCCTGCACGACAAGCTTGTCGGCTGCAGCGGTACAAAGCGGAACCGGGAGGCAAGGCGCTGCGAAAAAGGAACGACGGAGAAATTCGTGTCCTCTGGGGACGAGGGGCATGGTGAGGCACAGCCGGGCACAAAAAGCAGCCAACCGACTCGTCAGGTAATTAGTGCTCCAGCTGCACTTAAAACTACCAAAAACTACCATATTTGCTGCTTACAAGCAGCTAATTTACAGCCGCTTGCAAGCCCCGCAGACGCAGAGCACCATCCATGCTGCAGGTTTCCAAAGGAGCCCAGTGCCATGTGAGCTATAGGGGAGGCTGGCTGACACCGCCACCCGCTGCCTATTCCAGCGGAAAGGAGCACCGGTAGAGATAATAGCTGAATATGAGCAATGGAGAAAAGTACGGGACATAAATGGAGAAGATGGATGCCAGTGCTTCACCCGCTGCCTATTCCGCAAGTGCTTCACCCGCTGCCTATTATACTCCGCACACTCACCTGTGTCCTCAGTGATGGTTTCGAGGAAAGTACTGTCCAAGACCTCATTCAGAAGCTCCACTATCTCCCGGTTGCACACAAAACCGTTGCAGTATATCAGCAGGCACAGCTTGGCCTCGGAGTCCCAATCCTTGGGATGTAGGTGGTCAAAGAGCTCGGACGCGTCCGCCACTTCAAGCTCCGGTACTCCCGGTGGTAGCGGCGGCAAGGTCGTAATGCCCACTTCGCCGGGCCCCGCCGCCGCCGCCGCCGCCGCTGCCGCTGCTGCTGCTGCTGCCAGGCCGCTTCCTTTGCCTTTCTTCTTGCTGCCGCCAGCTGCAACTTGCGGCGCGGCAGCCGGCCCTCCGGCCCCGCCACAAGCCTTACTTTCCTTTATCATCCGGTTCATGGCGTGCAGGATTCTGAGCCTCTGGAGCCGTTTCCTCCGCGCAAAAGCCTCCAATGACCAGAGCTGATTGTATGCACTTGCGGCGAGCCGCACCACCTCGCCTGCGGTACAGGAATGCGGAAGAGGTGAAAACGAGGCGATGAAGACGGAGGACTGTTAGCGCAGTGAGGGCACACACCCGCCCTGCACGCCATATCCGTGTGCGTGCTTTCGGCATGACCGCCTGCCAGACGCGCACATGTCCTCGCGCCGTGTCGGCCCCCGGCCACCGGGTGTGGAGAGCGCTCTCCCATTTCAGCCTGTATGTCCACTTCGCTCCTTTTTCCGACAAAAAAAACATATAAACAGACGCACGGACTGCTTCACGGGGGACTATGACCTCGGGGCTCGAGGCACGTGTTCGGGTGCCACAGGTATCGGAGGCCATAGCTCATCATGCCCACCCACCCGACTGACCTTTGTTGCCTTCCCCTGGAGCAACCTCCAGACACCACAGCTCATCCCTGGCTATCCGCTGAAACTCATTGAACCGGTGCTTCATCCCCGTCAGCGTTGCCTCCGCCCGGATGCCCACGTTGGTCAGCAGGAACAGGCGCAGATACAGCAGCCGCTCCGTGTCCAGCCGGTCAAGACAGGCCCTCAAAGACTCCTTCGCCAAGGACACCTCCGTGCACCTGCAAATGCGGAGGGCGCATGTCAGGAAAAGGGAAGATGCAAGGACATGCATGCGAACAAATGGGGGAGATATCAGCAAAGGACGACATCAGGATGAACACACGAGGGAAAAATACGTATTGATTGTGCGGCACAGAAGCAGAATGTCAAGCAACAGAGAGTCCAGCGAAATGGTGGACGGGGCCAAACTTGTATGAGTACGGCACTTCCCAGCATCACACAAAGTATATGTCACAAGAGAGGCTTCAATGGCAGTGGAGATGGACTGCGGGAAACCGAGCGCGTGGGATTCCCAGCCATTGCGAAGGGCCAGCCAGCCAGCCAGCCAGGTTACAAGTTGCAGCTGCTAAGACGTGAGGTGCACTGCGAACATCAGCAGCGCAACGAGCCGGACTCCTCTCCATCTCTTGCACCGCTGATGACAACAGGGTCCCCGTACGGGTCAGCACGGTTTTGTCGTTTCAAGGGATTATACGAAGCGCACGGATCTACGGAACGCGCGGACTTACTCGACGCCCAGAGCCTCTGCGATGTACAGGCAGATGGTGATGGACAGACGCCGGCCAAGACCGCAGCCGCCTTCCTGCAAGAGTCAAACCCGTTGCGCGCAACAGAAAACTTCAAAACATTTTGCGCAGTGGCTACTAGTCCTAGAGCAGCAGCAGCAGCAGCAGCAGTTTCATGAATGCTACACCATAGCAGCTTGAACAGGTTTTCCGATTTTCGTACATTAAGTAAATTGCCTTTCCGAATGAATGGAGGAGTTGTGTAGCGCCCCATGCTGCAACAGCTGCAGTCGTTTTATCCTCAAGCGGGATGCAGGGTGAGAAGGAAGGACACCTTGCGAAAGAGGATGGGACCCCTTTCTCTTTGCCGTGCTTGCTTCGTGACCCCTCCCCTGATCGGGCATAAAGTCAGGTCAACCCTCCAGCTGGCGCTCCCAATCGGTTCGTAATTTGTCCCAATCGCTTCCGTTCATCGCGCTTGCATGTCACACAGCACAGCACAGCAAAGCACTTACCTGCAGTGCATCCACCGCATCAACGATGTCCTCGCGCCAACGCGCGTCGATGGCGGTGCGCTCCGCAGCCGGCAGGTCCGACCGAATGTCAAAGTCAAAGAAGGGCCCCAAGAGATCATCATCGTCGGGAACCGCATCTTCGCCAGTGCCACCGTTCGCTATGGACTCCTCGCCGTCAACCTCCGTGCACCCGTTGGCACCATTTGCTGCTGCGCGGTTGCCGTTAGGCAGCTGCTTGGTGTTCTCCGTTGCCGCCGCCTAGAGGCCAAACGGACATGCCAGCGGCAGCGGCAGCAGCAGCAGCAGGAGGGAAAACGGCAGCACGGGCGGTTGACACACCGCAATGCGTCAGCGCCCAATGCCGTATGAAGATGCAGGTAACGCTGCATACCGTAGCGTCTGACCAACCTAGAGAGCAGGACTCTGCCATGTCTCCTCCCAATCGCTTCACATAGCTTCACATCCACACAAAGTCACGTAGGAACAGCCGAAGGCGGACATACATACAGGGTAGCGCTGAAGTCACACTCAACGAGGTGTTGCCAGTCAAAAAACACATACAGGCACCGCTATCCGTAATTACCAAGTGTAATTGTCCTCAGCCTCGTCTTGCAGGGTAGGACGACACAAACCACTGCAGTGGGACATCTGGATGATGGCCCACTCATGTATCAGCCACCCGTGCCGGCCCGTGCCGGCGCATCCAGTGACGGTGCCTCAGGGGTTCAGGGCCGTGAGAGGTCCTCACGCAAACTCAATACCGCGCATAACCACTGACCTTAGCAGCTGCCGCCCTCCGCCGCTTCAGGCGCTCCGAAAGCACCGTCGGGAGCTCGCCGTACAGCTTCCGGAGTAACTCAATGTGCGCCTGAAAGTGCAGTTACATGAGTGAGTGTGTATGGATGGAGTAAGCTACCAAAAGGCAAGTTAACACAGGCTGTGAAGGAAACCGCAAGTCATGGGCGGCAAGGCCTCGTGTTGTCTGGACCAAGGCTGTCGGCGGGTCCAGGGCCTGATGCCCCTTGTGTAATGTGCCTGACAGGGCAAGCACGTCCCCTTGCGCCTTGCGGGGTTTACATCACCATCAGCCCCCGACTGAATCACGTTAACGTTTACTCAACCCGGGCAGCTTCACCTCACTTCACATCACCTCAGAGCCCCATTACCATTTCGGTTGCGAAAATACAATCGACAGACTGAGTAATCGACGGACTGTCCACCGCACATATTGGGCACTACTATGAAGAAAACCCACCGCTACTACCCTCTCTCCTCTTCTCTCACCTCCTTGGTGCTCTCGTGCAGGCACATAGCCAGGCGGATGAACTCGTTGCTGTTGTAATCCCTGTAGAGCAGCCCGAAGTTGCACAGCATCGCCATCCGCCTGTCGGTGATGTCCCAAGCACTCATGTCCGGAGGGGGGTCCGTAAAGGGCAGCACTTTCCTCCACCGCAGCAGGTGCGCGTAGCCATCCAGCACAACCATTGGGTCGCCCAGGGCCTCGAGGACCAGCTGCGGGTCGCTCGGAATACTGAACACCTGCCTCGGTAGGACCTGGAAGTTAGCGACACATGTAAGGCGACACACAGCACAACCCGGTGGTGTCATGAAACAGCATGAGTCCCAGGTGGTTCAGGGTGCAACCTGAGGAGGGCCAGACGCGTAGTAGCGCGCGCTTGCAAGTTTTGGCGTGTGGCTGATATCTTTTGGTTGATAGGAGCGGGCGTACGCATGCGCAGGGTGCCTCGCTCATCAGCAGGCGTAGGCGTGGAGAAGGCGCCACGACGCACAAAGACCACACAGCGAACAGCGGACTCTCACCAGGAATCTGTAGTCACCGTCGTCCAAGTTATCGCCCACAGGCTCGTCAGTAATCGTCGCCACTGCGAAGCACAGGACGCACAGGACTCGGGCTGCTCACGAGAATGGAAAGGAGAGGCTCGCAGGTCCATGATGCGAACACACACGCTCACACATCCTGTGGTGGCACTATGCTTTCAGTGTTTCCTTCCTGCCAGCTTAAGACCGTGATCGTGGCGTTACTCTGAAGAGGGCCTTCACCCCCCCCCGGAGACCCCGAGTCAGATATTCCAGACGAGGCTCCGCCCTAAAGAATCACCGCGCCCACTGAGCACCCAGCTAGCTACATGGCTGGGGCACAGCGGGACGAGGGGCACAGCGTGTCGCGCGATTGTACACTACTTGCCCTGATACACTACTTGCCCTGCTGTTGATGCATACGGCACAAACCCACCCCGCCAGTGCCGATATCCGCTCCAGGGACAAGGTGCAAACTGCAACCCCCCCCGGCCGGATTTGCGGCAGATGCGCAGAGTCATATTGTGGTATGGCGTCGCGCGAGACGCATCCCAGGCCTACACCCACGTCACGAGCAAGCCCATAGCCCTTTGCATGACTCACTGACTGCGATGCTGTTTGCGATTGATGCGACAACTTCATGCCGTTGCAGCACCGGCAGTTGTGCAAGCCGGCTGGCGAAGGCAATCCGCGACCTGGTGACCTCGTCGATGATCCTCTTATTATCCATAGACACTGCTATCTGCAGTACCACAGCGCAACGAATCAATCTGTTAGCCCAGTCGCCACCAAGCAGACCGCGCACACGCGTGCCACGGGGCCCAGGGAAAAAACATGAACAGAATTTACGAATGGCCTCGAAACACGTACACTCAGCGTCACCACCACCTGCCGCGTAATCCCCATTTTCCAACGCGTCGATTCGGGAAGTGCACGCCAATCATGATTGCGACCTCTCTCGCTTGGAGTCGCCACGTGCATGCGGCGGAACTTGGCCACGACACTGGCACCCCAACCCCCGAGCATTCCGCTGCCGCCCTTAACCAATCCAAGGCTAAAAACGTGTGCATGCATGCTACCCGCTGAACGGCCCGGCGCTGTCAAGGGTGTCCAGTTCGTAAGGGCAAGGGCAAGAGCTTCACCGACCTCCTGTGATGGCGGCAGCGCCTCCGGAAGCAGCACCTCCCCAAGCAGCGCCCGGGTTACAATCGGCGATGACGGGCTAAAGGCAAGCAGAGACAAACAAACAGGCAAACCACAAGCAAAGGAGGCGCGCACAGTGGCGCAGCAGTGACCACGGTACCGGAAACAGCCCTTCAGAGGGTGCACGATGGCAGCCCCCGGGGCCAACCAGAATGTGCTGCAGGGGTCTTGCTTGCGCAGGCAAAGCGACTTTGAAAAGAGGACTGACAGCGCTAGACAGGAATACATCCAGGTCGTGCGTTTCCGCACGGCTCACGTGGTATGGAGGAAAACCCGCACTGCAGGTGAGCAAGCCACAGCGACTGGACTGGCCTCTCATCATTCCGCATAATTACGCGGGCTGCCCGCGCTAAGGCAGCTCTGCTCTAGGGCCCTCAGGGGAGCATAACGTCCGGGAGCACCGGTTGCGGCTGCATGGTGCAGGCGGGCGACGCAGCAAAAGATCGCCTATGTAAGAAATTAATCATTCAAGTACCTGCTTTCCAGGTTCGGGATGATGTCGTCCTTCCGCGGGAAAAAACGAAACATCTGCGCGTGTGAGCAACGGAAGGAGAGAGATGCATAAGACACACACATACATACACACAAGACACGCTTCATTAAGCTCGTTCCATTCTTTGCCCTGGCGAGCAAAGTAAGGGACACATGCAGGGGCTCTCTGTCGGGTTTCAGTGGCATCCATGAAGGCCATGAAGGATGCGATGTAGCGCTTGACCAGCAGCTGAAGTTGGCGGACCATATCCACAGTGATTGGCCAACGAGGGTCAGAAATAACAGGCGCACTGCTACGGCATGTCAGTCAGGCATACTAGAGTTCAATTAGTTCAACATGACTTTGTTTTTCTCGTGTTGAGTGTTAGGATTAGAGACTTTCTTGTGCGTTTTCGATGTTATTTTTTATCTATTTCGGACACACAGCCCTCGGCCCCCTGAGGGCCCTTGGACCCCCTCCTCAGGGCCCCAAGGTTGCACAACCTTTGCAGCATGACGCAACTCCAGAAAGTGTAACACATCCACACACATGACATCCACACACATGACATCCACACACATCCACGCACATGACTGCAAGGAGACAATCCCTAGGTCAAAATGCTATCGGGCCAGCATGCATGCATACACACATACTGCCAGCATACCATACACGTGTGTTTCCTGCTTTTGCGGTGGCAGTCGCCGATCACCACGGGCTAAAAGGATGCCAACAAGCATCGCATCGACCATCCGCAACGCATCCCAGTCTCCTAGTCCCCCGCATGCTCCACGATCACGGTATGCGCTCATCTGCCTCACGCCCAAAGCAAGACACTTACGTCAGCAAGCTTTGAGGCGGCGTGCATGGGCTTTTTCAGCCACGAGACTTCCGAATCATGCGTGAACCGAGCTGTATACTTGACGCCAGCCAGCTCCTCGATCGCTTCATCGATCAGCTTTTTGCGCAGCGCGGGTCCAAGTCCCTGGGGGTATCGACCAACGGCATTTGCATATTTGCACATTGGAGCGGGCACCAGTCCTTCTCAGCCTTATGTGTATCGTGCACATCGGCGCACTGGGGCCAACGGTCCAGGTGCACCTGTGCGGCATGAGGTTGACTATGCGGGCTGGTCGCTATGCGTACATCATTCCTTGTAGTACCAGTATGCACGTAATGCCATGTAGGTTCGCCTGATAGGCTGCGCTTGGGGAAAGGCGGTATGGAGGCGCAATGGGTCGGTTCCGCGCATCTGTTGAGCGGTCCCGAGGATAAAAATATATCGCGGCCTATCAGCTCTCGCTTTTTCAGCACGTTGCTGCCTAGGGGGGCGGCGGCTCATAAAGGGGACTGGGCTGCGGGGGTTGCGCGGGGCAAGTGCAGGGACGGTCGGAGGTGGAGGAAACCAGGAATGAACTGCTGGCTGCCGGAAGGCGTCCAAAGCTCGAAACTGCCCCCAGGGAGTGAGTGAGTCCTAAGCGGTGATGAAGTCACACCTCGACCCAGGAGAGGGGGCCGGGGTGAAGATGTGCTGGGTTGCAAGCCTGGCTGATACGCTCATGGTTGTGCAGCCCTACGGTTATTCTTACCCTGAGTACACCAAGAGCGCATGGCTAAAAAAGGAACACAGGGGGGCCCCAAGAGCGAGCTTTCTCCAGGATTAAAAAAGGCAACGCGGCCTGGTGACAGGGTGCCTGAGTTATTTGCCAGAAGCAGGCAAAGAATAGTAGGCAATGAATGGCCGCCATTGCCAGTGTGGCGTTATTGAGCTATCCAGGCCGCACCTCCAGGGTCTTGGTAAACCACTCCACCAACTCCAAAACCTCAATGGGGGACTCGTCGACGTCAACGTCGACGGCCGGTACAACCAGCTTGGTTTCCTGGTCCTTGGAACCCGCCTTATTACCGCTCTTCCGGCTGGCATTCGCCTTGCCGGGATTGCTGCTGCTGCTGCCCCCGCCGCCGGCGCCAGCAGCGTCCCTGCACACCAGCGTCCGGCGTCACCAGGCGCCGCGAGCCACGCAGGAGGAGGGGGAAGGGGAGGAGGAGGAGGACAGAGGGGGCAGGAAATCAATAGGCAGCGTGTAACTGAGGACTCCGCACATGATACCTGTCCGTACGCCTGCCCTGTAGCCAGTCGCAGAGATTTCCGTTTTAATCAAATCCGTGAAAGAATAAAATAAGCCGCAACCTCAACGAGGACAAAAAACCACAACGAGGACATCTCTCTCTACAGCACCCGTCAGAGAGGCCGTATACCCGACATCCCCGGCATAATAGCGCCATAATGCTCCGACCCACATGCAGCACCGCTCTCACCCCTTATCGTCCTTATTGCCAGCAGACCCGGATATCGCTGCTGTGGCGGCGGCGGTAGCGGCGGCTGCAGAGCTCGACTCGGAAAGGGCTGCGCTGTAGGACTTGTTCAGCAAATCCAGCAAGTCGGGTTGCCGCAGGCGGATAACGCGGCCTGTCGCTCGGAAGCGGGCCATATGTGTCGCAAGCTGCTGCATGTACACGTTCTTCACCAGCGGCTGTGGGAATGAGGACGACAGGGAGCTCATTCCGGGAGCGTCCAAGTATCCTTTCTCGACCCCTCACGAGCGCGGGGGGGTCGTTTGTGAAAGTAGGTGAAGGCAAACTGCTCAAAGTTGCCCGACAGGACCGATGGACTGGTCCTTCAAACATTTGTTCCTGTTGCCCGTACGAAATGTACGGCTCAAGCAAAGTACAAGATCGAACCCAAAGACCAAAAGGCTTGCCACCCACCAGCTAGTTCATGTTTACGGAGAAGACCCGGAGCAATTCCAGCAAAGTGTTCATGGCAAGGCATCGCCACGCACAAACATACACACGCACATACGCAGGTGGCAAAAAACGGATGCCATTGATGCGGTAGGCGGGCACACACACCCAATCTGCGCCGTCTGCCCAAGCTGGCCGGTAAAAGGACCGCCACGTACTTGCGCGCCAATCTCAGTCAGCCACTTGTCCAAGATTTCCCCTATCAACTTCTCGAACGCCTGTGCGTCGACGGAGACCAGCTCGCACAGCGCCCGTAGTCGTTCCGGCGAGCCCTGCAAAGCAGAGGTACCATCGCCCTTCCAATGAAAAGCCGCCCGGGTATTGAAAATGATGAGTGAGTCCACATGGGACTGACCACAGCCAAGCTCACAGCTCGCTCCCAGATGCAGGGCCGGGGCGGCAACATGTACATATATATGTGTGTGCCTGTGTGCCTGTGTGTTCGTGCTTGTGTGTGTATGTGCGTGTGCAAGACGGAACGCATGGGGACTCAGGGTTCATGCGTTCGTGCTCTTCACAGGGCGCACCGGTATCGGTACCTGCCAGAACAGCTCAAATTGGAGTCCTCAACGCAACACCGGTCTTAAACCTTACGGGTGCCCGTCCCGTCACAGCAATGTGCAACAGCAGTTCCGAGAGAGGCTTCGTCCATTGTACGACCCAACCCAACCCAACTTTCGAAGAACACCCAGAATGGGTGCTTAGCACGGTGTGTGTGTATGTGTGTGTATATGTGTGTGTATGTGTATATGTGTGTGTATGTGTGCGTGTATATGTGTGTGTATATGTGTGTGTGTGTGTGTGTCAGCACTTCTCACGCGCGTTCGAAATGGTAGGCATAGGCATTTTCACACGTTGCGCGCGCAAAACCAACTTTGGATGCAGCTGCAGCAAACATGGAGGATGCGGCACTGCAACGGCTCCTCTGTTCTGTTCCCGGACACGTCATCCTCGTCATGAGGCGTCATGAGTCCGCACTCCGCAGCACGCTGGCAAAGCGTACCTCGGGCCCCGCTGCTTTCAGCTTCTCTCTGAAGGCGTCCATTGTGCGAGCAACCTCCTTATCCCTGTTCTTTTCAACCTCGAAAGCAGCATCGCGTTCGCGCTGTAGATCCTGCTGCACGCGTACCACGTCTAAGGTCTGCACCGCCTCCTGAACCTGACCCTCCACGGGCTCCTGCAGCCCGGGTACTTGTGCAGCCGAATCCATAGGTTGTAAACCCTATATGGTGATCAGGAATGCAGGGGATGAGTCCTTCCAGGACACCTAACCGTATAGCAGCAAAAAAGAAGTTTTAGTGAGCTTCTCACAACGCACACCCCTCCCCCGTACAGCCCCGTTCGTGCACACATAGACAAGTTCATCAGGGCGCGTAAGTGCACGCAGTTCTCTCGCACACACCTCTCTCTTGTGCTGCTGCTGCTGCGCGTCAGACTGTCGCTGCTTCTCTGCCTCCTGGGCACATTTCTGTCTCGATTTCTTGAGGTACTCTAACAAGTGCCCCACGCGTTCCGACTTCGTCTTGCCGTCCTTAAAGTCCTCAAACTTCTCCCTGTTGGTAGTGTTGATGGCCTCCTCCGCGGGGTCAGCCCACTCATCCTCGTCAAAGTTTTCTATCACGTCATATTTAACGTGCAACTCCCGGATTGCATCGTCGGCCGTGACCCATGTTTCGGACGCGTTTGCGGCCGCCTTGCGGTACCACGCAGTGAGCAGGCACAGTGCAGCCAAACTCCGAGGCGGTGAGCACAGCAGCGGCTCCAGGCGGCCTTTTGCATCATTCCGGTCCTGCCTGGTTTCCCTGAAGGAGCCCGGTCCCTCGTACAAAATACGCGCGTGGCAAAGACGAGCAAGCCGGCCAGCTTGATGGCTGCCCTCGATACTTAACCGTTCCAATTCAGCACGTAGACCATTCTTTTTCGTGAATGCATCACGATTCTTTTTGTACTTGATAAACGCTTCCTGGAAGAAGCTAAGGTCCTTTCCACCGCCGACACCTTGCTTAGGGCCATCCTTGCCGCCAGAGCCCTTGCCCTTGGGTGGCATACTTCCGCCAGATATTATAAATGTCGATAAGATCAGGTCATGGCAGCCTGCAACCCTACACCTCGCGAATCCCGTTCCCTTTCGAAGCCAAACCTCGCTAAAGTCTTACGCAGCAAATGTTTCTTAATGGGGAGCACGAAGGTGTGCGTCACGCAGCTCGCCGATAGAGGTAACCGATACCAGATCTACAAAGTTCCGCAGCAGCCGGACGCCAGTTACTAAGGATCAGCCATCGTATGGCATCGCATTTCCCATATGACATCTTATAATTAACGACATCTTTAGTTTCCAGGATAATTTTGTTTTTAGTGACGGTACGGTGTGCTGCGCGTGCTGCGGCCGACACGTACGGTTGTCCCAAATTATCCGCACCCGCGATGACATGCATCTGGTACAACACAGCGTTCAATTATGAACAATTGTTTAAGCTTTTTTGATTGCTGGTGCGTACACCGACTCTAGAGTGTACAACGACAAGCCTCTTATATGTTGTGACATACGATGGAGCAACACCCAGATTGCCTAGTAGGTTAAGGGCTGAACCATCACGTTGATCGCCTGCAACAATGAGCCGGAGCAGGGCAGTAATGCAAGCATTGAAATTGTGAAATTGTACTTTTTTTGGCATATAGCCAAGAACGGCCAGTCGGCTCGAATCATATATCATTAGATAGTGGCACATTTTGATAATCTCTTTCTGTTCCCAATGATCTAAGGCTCCCAACCCTACAGTATTCAGGCTTCTCAAGCGCGCTGCGCGCCCAGAAGTCGTGCGGCAACACTCGGTCCTGACCGTATGGTTCTAACTTTTGGTACTGAATTGTCGTTACAGTGGATACAGTGATATTGTGCGATCGCCATCGCACATCTGCATGCTAAGTGTTTTAACAGATGCCCCCAAACATTGCGAATACTACTGTACTTGCCTGGAGCATGTATTACGTTTATCGATACCATAATTCACGTAATCGATATACGTACATCGTTCGCACATACACATCTTATACGCATCACATGGAATACTGCACTCTCCAGATTCCCATTGCCAAGGATGAATGCAAAATTAATGACACCTTGATCGACCCGAGGCGGTAAGCTAAAGCCAGTTAAAGCCACCTTTTTCATTCGTGCTAGGCATGTCGCCAGTCCTCGCTTTGCAGCAGCTTGATGTGCGCGATAGGAACACACCGCCGGCAGGCTGCCCCGGCGCAGCTTGTGCAATGTGAGCTTCACTGCGGTGCGGACCCGGTCCCATATTAGCTTTCCACGCGGGCTGGGATCGGAAATGGATCGAGCGATCGCAGCAACAGCCATCGGCAACGGTCTATTGAAAATGGGCGCTGCAAACCAGCCCTAAACAGCAGCATTACCAGCGTGCGCTACAGGTTGCAAAGCAGCTCCGGAACCGAGCGCCGCATCCTCCATGAGGCCCCCCCATGACAACACCGCGACTAGGGTGAAGGATAATAACCCCCAGCGGCTACCTACGCACACACCTCAGCACAATTGCGTAGGTAAGTTCACTAATGTCCGTCGCCGAGCCGTCGCGAAATAGGTCCCTTAGCCAGTCCACTTTTGCAGCGAAGCAGCAAATGCGTCGGCTTTGTAATATTGCCCATGATGTTTCACCAGTTGCCGCACCACTGCAAGATAACGTTTTGGCCAACACAAACCATAACTCTTCACCCTCGAGGCCGCCTCGAGGCCTCCCCCGATCCATTTCCGCTCCCAGCTGGGCTGCAGCCCGCATGGATTGCTTCAATATGTAGTTGAAGCTGTATGGGGGCGTGGTTATGTGCCAAAGGGTCATGAATACAGAAACCAAATGCGAACAATTCATAAAAAAAAATGTAGCTCATCAGGCACCAGGTCCACACCGGGGATCTTTCTGCGCTCCACCGTAAACCGATTTATTCCTCCGCTCAACCAGGCCCGCGCATCCTACACCACGGGGCCGTCGTCTTTGCCCCGGTCACCGTCCTCCTTGTGCCCCATATGCTTAACAACTGACTAGAACGACCTCAGGGGCCGACCCAAAGCTTCCCAGCAGCTACCTACGTGCCGGTTGCAGCAATCCCGCCCATACAACCTCCTGATGCAAGCGATGATAGTAGAGGTATCTTCTCACCTCCTTATGACCGACATCCGCATTCATATAAGCGACAGACGGACAACGCAAGCCATCAGGTGCCATTATCGCCTCTACCATTATCACCACCACAGCTGGCGGCCTGACGAGGGCCCCGAGTCCACCCGGGGTGCCAACACGGGCTGGCTGCCCGGTTAGGGTGGTTAGTTGGATGTCTTGCGGCCCGTTTTGAATGGCCCACGAGCAGAAGGCGGAACATGGGCTGGAAATGGTAATCACAGGCCGACCCGGCTGGCCACTGGCCCTGTCCACAAACACTCACGGACACGCACTTGCAGAGTCCGTGTCGAGGTGGTGCTCTCTATCCTGCTTCCTGCACGAGGTTGGGTCCCCCAGATTTCACCGGCAAGCCACAGACGGGTAATATCGGCCCCCCACAAATCGTGTTTCGAAATGGTCTACAAACACGTTGTGCTGTACCACAGAGAGCGCTGCACCGCAAAACTGCACACATCCGCACCCCCATGTTCAGAACATGCACCCAAGTCGAGCGCCCAGTCCCAACATCCAAACCAAACAACGATTCCTGTACCAATTTCATATTCGCAGTTAGCACCTGGGTCTTTTAAATTCGCAACCGGCAAGCTCTGGCGCACTCAGCATCACGGACCCATACCCCCCCTGGTGTGGGGAAGCTCCGCACGCCGTAGGCGGCCTGAAGGTAGCCCGGGTCCGAGCTGCCCAGCGCAAGAGGTATGGCCACCGTGCCAATGCTCTTGGCATTGAAGGCGAGCATGGTCTGAGCCTGGGTGCATTGCTTGTTGACTTGGTAATGCATCCAGCCTGGTGAGGAGGCGGAGGAGGGGAAAGACAGTGGAGGGTAGCGGAAAGGATTGGGGAAGGCCGAGCAGCCCACGTGGATACTCGCATGGATTGGTGAGTGAAGGCATAACTGTTGTGCACTTCTCCACACTCAGCGGGGGGAGAAAACCAGGGAATCCAAGAAATGCAAAAGCTCCCCAAGTTGAACTCATAACCAATGCGCGCAGCATGACCCTGACCATACAAGATCGTAGGCAGGGGAGCATAGGAAGTAAAACACCTCGATACCGCGGTCCCCTAAAGAGATGCCAGGCTCACGGCCGGCGTAATTTTATTAGGAATAATGGTAGCACAGGGGGATGTAGGAAAGCACAGCAGCAGGAGGCCCCAACTTGGAACCGGAGATGGCGCCGGGCAGGAGTGGAGTAGGCGCATGTGGCCTCACGGTAAGATCCTTGGGGCCCTTGGGGGCCCTTGCAGGGCCATTTCGTTTGTGATGCCTTTCGCATGCAGCATGCATCATGCTTACCCTTGGGATACACGACGTTGTCGCCTGCGAATAAGGTGTGGTTGTAGGCGGTGTTGTTGGGAGCCACCATTACCGACTCCATCCGTCCGCTAAGGACGATAAAGACTTCGTCAGCATAGATGTGTAGGTGCATCATCCGGTACATGCACGGACCCTGGCGATGGTCGGCAACACAGTTCGGAACATGTTTAAGAAACGTGCAAAGCATGGCATAGCATGGCCACAGCATAGCACGGGCATTAGATCACTAACGCTAAATACGTACTGGCACATAATAAGTAATGTGAAGCCAAAGCAATTGCAGTTCTAAGGAAAAAAATTGGGTAAGCGCTGTGCGCAACTGCCCGGCAGAGGCTGCCCGCTTGCTGCCCGCTTCGCCTTAGCCCGCAAACCGCAAAGATTGGGTATCAATAAACAGATTGTACGCAATCAGTTCATGATTTAATCAAACGAGCTTACAAAGAATATCCTCGCCAGGTTAAGCTCTGCAACAGGGCTGCCAGCTTGATACGCACGGGTCTGGTTGTCGGCTGGCCATGGATAAAGAACACCTGGCTGTGGAATGTTGAATAATGTATCTTGTGCATTTGCAACTGGCAAAGCCGGATATAAAAGCCCGACGGCAAGCGTTAGCAGAGCCAGTGTAAGGGCATTGGCGGATACCATTTTCTTTATATTTACAAGGGCAAATCGAAAAAGGGTTTGGTTCTTCTTGCCTCCTAATTCGGATGCTTTATTGCGATGGTAACGAGTCGTCGTAACTATTTGTACCGGATCAGGCCACATTACACATTATGCACAAGGGACGGCACACAAATCACCTGGCTGAGCGCACGTACTTAGGAATTGATAAGAATAAGCCGATTTCGTCGCTTTAACAAAATTTCCGATTACGTTACAGGATTGCAACGGAAATCGGAGTGCGACATGGATTATCAGTACGCCACGCGAAAGGCGACCGTTGCGGCCATAATAGCCTTCTCAGCCAACCACATAGATAAGCTGCTCCTATATAGCTAGCTACATTTTACGGCGGTTTTTTTCCAACGTTACTAGATTGCACTGAGGCCTGTCGGCCTCGACAAAACTGCGTCCGTAGTGAGGCGGTCAGAAGGAGCGGAGCCAAGATCACAAGTAACTCCCGCTGAGCGCCGGACACCATTGCCGTGACACTTCCCAAGCCCAGGGTAAATATCGTGGGTCCCTTACCATTGCGCTACGGTGCCTGCAGCCATACTTCGATTCTCGGGCGCAACAGGCAGGCCGGTACAAACTGGTACAGGAGCCCCTGTACCGGCGGATTAAGCGCTCGACATCCGCCACCACGTTGACCTAATCATGATGTACAGTCTCCACGCCTGGCTCACTGCTGATCCATTGCTAACCGTAGCTTAGGATATTACAGTCATAGTGCGGCAACACGGCCCTTCCGGGGAGGACCGTACGGAACCATAGGGCCGATTCACACCGGTGGGCGGATCTGGTTTCGGAGTTTCCGGAGCCTCCTTATGCCATGCCGAGCTTTGTCGTACCACGGCGGCCCCGAAATGTTGGTTTCCAAGGACGTGATGGAGCGATCCGACACCAGAAGATGCCATAACCATGTTCATTAAATTTAAATATAATAATGATATCAAAATAATTATGTTAATGCAAGGAATTGCCACTTGTATTTTTATCTTTGTTTGGAAGAAGGTCGCGGAAGGTAGCAGAAGGGATGCACAGTTGCCTTGTCGTGTCCCACGACAGGAGGACGCTGCGCCCCACACAACACCAATAAAAGTCGCGTCGTGTGCCAATGTAGGAGTGCGTCGCGCCCGTCGACGTTTTCAGGTCCCGGGGGTTCCTCAGCGGCTGTCTGCCGCGTGTGCCAGACAGCGGTGTACCCTCGCCAGCGACGAACCCCTACGGTGCACTTAACGAGGCGCCCGGGAGGTGTTGCATCCCACCGAGGGGAATGGGGGGGGGGGCCGGGCAGGGCGGGGCGAAGTGTCCACCGTGGATAACAAGCGGGGCGGGCGGCCGGGGCCAGAGGGACCCAACCCGGGACTCAGAGCCCATATAATGTTGTGAGCGAGTGAGTGAGTGGTTGTTATATTGGCGCTCCTCTGAGGGCGGCAAAGGCGTCTTGGTCCAGAGTTGAATACGGCCAATCCGCGACCCCAAAGACCTTACCTGAGTTGTTAGTCGTGTGTTAGGGTTTATCTTGTGGCGAAATTTGGCGCAAATAGGGTTTGATATGCCTTATGACACTACCCGCAACTTAACGGTACGGCATCGTAACAAAGCCGTACAACTTTGACGAAAGTGCCCGACAACAGAAGCTGACGGTAGCTGGCAACACGACGTACTGCATACCGCATCAGCGACGCTGCAGCTGGCTGTAACCGCGACTACGGAGACAACGGGACTACGAAGCTGCAGTAAATCATCCCCTAGCTACCTAGCTCTGACAGCGCAGGGACGGACATACATACATACAGGCAGGCAGTCCAGGATATTTGCGGCACAAACACCGTTCGGAATGCCGCCTAACTCTTTTCATGATGTTCCAGTCTTTCCTTTTCACGCACCGCGAGCAGTGTGTACGGCAAGAAGCAAAGTGCTGTTTCTACTTACATAGCCGACCTTCGGAAAGCCCCGCTGTGTGCCGGGGTGACTCGAGATAGAGTAACCCCGGAAGGCGCTGCGACCTTTCCGGTAGGCAGAACTGGACGCTTTCCGGTCGAACCCCATTTCCCAAAACTAGACGTGTCAGGTGTGTAACGCTAAAAAGGCGCTACCTGTACGACACTTATTCGGCAGCATCAATCCTTCTTCACAGCGCTGTGGAGAGCAAAACGTCGCCGAAGGAACCAATATCTGGAACGTACTTAGGGGCAGCCTTCACTGCAGTGCAGATCTAAAGGGATTATTTAGGTACACAGAGTGGTGGTTGGTGTTACAAAGCAGCTTCGTCGTTACTTTGAAGAACTCCGGCACCGGATCCGTTGAATGCCGTTGGAACAGTTGTCGTTTTCAGTTATAACTATATGGCACATCATTCCGGCCCCTCCAAAAAAACACAGACCTATTTTCCCCCTCCCCCCAAAACAAGTTTGCGGCGACCCCCTCATTCAGCCGAGTGACGCCAAGTCCTCAGCGTATTGCTGCTGCTGCTACTGCTGCTACTGCTACTGCTACGGTTCTGCAGGAGCGACTGATGCGCCTATCCCAACGATATACCTTAGAATTACCCCTGCTTGGATTCCTCAAGAACGCACATACACGCACATATGCGCTCACGTTGCATGCAAGTTTAGCAGGCCTACATATAAGCAGGCCTACATATAAGCAGACCTCCAACTCGCCGTCCGCTGTGTCTCCACCTCCCCCCTCACCCAGGCCGCATCAGAGCGACCGACCGCAGACGTCGGTCCCCGCCGCGGAACCCCGCCGCCGCCGCCGCCGCCAGCACACCGCCGCCGCCGCCGCCCTCCCCACTCTCCCACACAGCCGCCACCCGCAGCGGCACGTGCGCCCACTCCCCCGCCGCCTGCCACTTCGCCACCAGCATCTCCAGCTGGCGTCGACTCGAACTGTGCAAGGATAGCCCCTGGCGTGGGCATCGTACGGCAGCGCGCAGTGCAGCTTCTAACTCCCGCGTCACCGGTTGATTGGCGGCGCTGCTGGCGGTCGCCCGTACGACACGCTCGTGGAGCCCGACTTGAAGCACCAGACGCAGCGGCGGCGGCGGCGGCGGCGCGGCGGCCTTCGCCTTGCGGCGGCCTGGCGAGGCGCCTCCGCCAGCATCGCCTCCGCGACCGCCGTTCGTGGCCGCGGGCGGGCCGTCCTGGTGCGCCTGTCGTGTTTGTACGACAGGACCGGACATCACCACGTGAGTTAGCGGGTTGCAGTTGAATGGGAAACGGTTGATGTCGTACGCGTGCAGTACACGTGCACGCGCCCGGTACGACAGGGACCAAAAGGCCCACCGCCGCACAGGCACCCCACCACAGCACCCCCCGAAGTTCCCCCCGCCGCCACGTCCACCCCCGGCCCGGCAAGAGCCTACCTTCGCAAGCGCCGCTAATGCCACATGGAGCGCCTCGCAACCGATTAGTTCCAATACCACGGGCTGAGGGGGCCCCTGCGGAAGGCACCGGGGAAGTACGGACGCGTCAAAACACACACACATACACACGACGTGTCGCCACGCGTCACACACAGACAGGGTTTGTGACGGGGGGTAGAACGGAGGGTAAATGGCGACAGACAGACAGACCCGCCGTACTAACGGTGCCCTTACATCAGATGAAATAACGAGTTGCCGTACCTTGCGTGGCTGGGCTGCCGCCATCACGATGTCGTACACTTGGTCAAAGCTGCAGGGACGGGTTTGGGTTTTAAGAATTGAACAGAACACAGGCATGCGACGCCTGACAAGACGCGGGACGGGGCGGATCCGGACCAGGTGGCGGGCTGCTAATCTGACTGCAAGCTGGGTACGACACCCCCCCAACCCACGCGGGGGGGACCCTGGGGGATAAGCAAAACACACCTCCACACACCCGCGTGATTGCAATCTCTCTGCGGTGCAGCTGTCAATCCGACCGTGTACGACATCAAACCCAACACCACTTCCCTCTACCTTCCCTTCATCCCCCCCCTTCCCCTCCACATACGCACTTAACTATTATTGGTAATTTGCATATTAGTATTTTGCTGCAGCCGCCAGTGGTGAGTATATAACGTATAAAAGAATTGTCTTTCCTTACTGCTATTGTGCTGCGAGAAGCAATTCTGGAATTTATAGATACACACATACATACACACGCACCATTCAGGTCCCCGCAGTGAGGCGCTGACTGGCGCCGTTTTGTTACCCGTACGGTGCGAGGAGGGCACCCGCTGTCGTACACTGAGCAGGAGATGAGGCGGGCAGCCCGGTGAGCCGCGGAAGGCGTCCTGGGGGAGTGAGGGGCCGGCGGGGAGTGTGTGTGTGTGGAGGTGTGTGTGTGGCCGGGGAAAGTATGAGAGTGAAGAGAGAGAGTGCTCCTCTCGCAGGGGAGAGCAGGGAACTGCCTCCAAGGGAAAGGGGGCCGCTGGTGAAGCTATACCACCCTGTAACAACATACATACACGCAGACACACCCACCCGTCCGGAGTCCCACTCGCCGCCCGGGCCCCTCACAGGCAGCACTCCCACCTGCGAGATTGGGCAGAACATACATACATACGTGCACACATATTCATACGTGAAAGCTCACACAAATACATACATACATACATGTATACGGCTCCATGGACAGCGAACACGTGAGTGTCCGCAGACGTCGGGCACCCCGAAGACTAGCACACCGGGGGAAGGTGGTAGGGGGGCGGCCAGCAGGCCAGGAGCCACATACATACATACACACACATACACACACACCGGTATGGAGCTATTTACACCCCCCCTGCACATAATCATACGTACGGACGTCGGCGTGCGCAAGCCCAAGGGGGGACAAGGGAAGGCTCTTTCCCTCAACCCTAAAACACCCACCCCATCAAGGTATGTATAGTCCATGCCCCTCCCCCCCGCTTTTACGGACACCCCCTCAGGCATTCGTGCGGAATTGTAACTTCTAATTAAGGTAAAGGTACCACTTTGAGGCTCCCTCTGACGCACAATACCCCCCCAC